CCATTGGAAGTCATTTACAGCCCAAAGTCCAAACCGCCTCTCCGGATAGAACGTTGGTTACTACGATTGCAACAATACAAGTTTAATATCAAGTATCGACCAGGTAGCAGCAACCCAGCTGACGTGTTGTCTCGACAATCTTTATTCGCCAACTACAAGTCAAGTACCATAGCGGAGAAAAATGTCAATTTCATCCAAAGTCACTCGGTTCCTAAATCTCTCACGCTCGATGAGATTCGTATCGCAACGTTAAATGATCCTGAACTGCAGAGAGTAACTAGCGCAGTAAAGGAAGATCGATGGAACAAAACAGATAGTTGTTTAAGCCCATATCGTAATCAGCACGAACAGTTGACAGTTTCGGAATGTGGAATTATACTACGAAATTCACAAATCGTTATCCCAAAGAGTCTCCGTAATCGTGTCCTTTCTATCGCTCATGAAGGACATCAAGGGATAGTTAAAACTAAAATGCTTGTACGCAGTAAAGTATGGTGGCCTGGTATTGACAAGCAAGTGGAGCAAATGGTTAAAGAATGTATACCCTGCCAAGCAGCAGTACACCAGTCACCAAAATGTCAACCACCCTTGAATATGACAAAGTTACCTCCACATCCTTGGCACACACTTAATGCAGATTTCTGTGGTCCATTCCCAAATGGCGAGAAATTGTTGGTCGTGATTGACGCCTATTCCAGATATCCAGAAGTTGAAGTGATGCAAAGCACGACAACCACGGTTGTGATTTCCAAACTCCAAAGAATCTTTGCCGGACATGGATATCCCGAAGAATTGATAACCGATAACGGACCCCCGTTCAATGCGGTTGAGTTCACCGAATATCTAGCTGCACATGGAGTCCATCACCGCCGAATCACACCTTATTGGCCTCAAGCCAACGGTGAGGCAGAGCGATTCATGAAAACAGTAACAAAAGCAATCCGTACTGCTCATTCGGAAGGAAAAAGATGGCAAAGTGAATTAGATCTTTTTCTTCTCAACTACAGATCCACACCTCATTCTACGACACGCATTAGTCCAGCTGAACTTTTGTTCAATCGCTCAATTAGAAATAAGCTTCCTAGTTTCTCATCCCTACAACACAATGATGGCCCTATGGAACACCACGTTGTTCGAGATAAGGAGGAAAAGGAGAAAATGAAAGTCCATGCTGATAGAAGAAACAACGCGAAAGAAAGTCAGTTGAAAGTTGGTGATTACGTGCTAATGCAAGTCCCGAAGGACAATAAGTTATCAATGCCTTTCAATCCAAAACCATTTAAAGTAATTGAAATCAAAGGCAACATGGTAACAGCTCGTAATACAGAGCGCACCGTAACCCGGAATGTATCGTGTTTCAAATGTCTCACAAATTACAAGAACGCAAGTGAGGAAGACCAGAATGATGAAGAAGACGATTTTGACGACGACATAGTAGAAAACCAGCAACCAACAATAGTTGAAGAGCAACAACAAGATCTACCAGATCTACAACGAAGGTATTGTCTTAGACAAAATCGAAGACCACCGGACTTTTATAAAAGTTAGACATGTTAAAACTAGTTAAATAATTACTGGTAAAGCGGACACGTAGACTTTATAAGGTAATATTCAATAAACAGCAATTAACATTAATGAGTTATTTTAAAGAAAAGGAGGGATGCAATGTAGTCACGTCATGTCACGTGATGTAATATATATTTAGGTATCAGAAAGAGACCACGTGTAAGAAAATAGGGTTTTGATATTGAAGGCAATAAAAGTACATTTTTATACTGTACAACTTGTACTAAAGAGATACATTATAGGTCTTTTCCTGCATCCTGAACTGTAGGCGTATTAGCAATCTCGTACCCAGAGTATGCCCATTCGCAAGTTAGGTCATACCCAGCACCTAACCTGCGAACGGGCATACTCTGCATGGGCTGTTTACATGATGGAAGGTGGGATGACTTTGATGTATTGAAATAAGTCACTAGGCCAAACGAAAGCTCAAAAGCTGGTTAACCGAACTCAAATGTTGTAGAGAAGATCAAGTAGTTCAAGAAGATTTTTATAGTTTTTTGAACAACCTTTCGTTTACAGTTACCTATAATCCATCTCTAGAAAATTAAGTTTTTTGCTGAATCATGCATCGTGACTTAATTTCAATATATCAAAATCTTCACGCCTCATATCTCGTCCTGGCAAACCGGGATCATATAAACAGCCCCTTATTCAGCAAATTGCGCATGCTCCCTTGCCTTTGATCCCTTGGGGTTGAGGCAACACTTTCCTTGCGATAGTAACTTCTAGTTATTATTTACAGGGGAAAAATAGCTAAACATGATCTCGTCCATATAATTAACTTCTGTTGTCTTGAGGTAAAAATTCTCCATGTTTTAGTATTTAGCAGTTCATACTTCAAATTTTGAAATTTTCTGACCCCTATAATTTATTTGGCCTCGCTTTTTGGAGCTCATGGCCTAAAGAAGGAACAAATAAATTTGTTTGCTGCTTTGCTTTTGGAGCTTTGCTTTTTAAACTTTGGGGCCACGCGTTTTTTTATTTTGGGGTTCGCTTTTGGGAGCCTTGGACTTTTTGGGGCCCCGCGCTTTTTGGATCCCGTACTGAAACAGGGAAAAAAACCCCGTTCGGGGCCTCGCTCTTTGGGGCCTCGATTTTTAAATTTTGAGGCCTGACGTTTTCTGGGGACCTTGGATTCTTTGGGGCCTCGCGCTCAAACACAGAAACAGGGGAACAAAAAAAAACTTTTGGGGCCCCGCTCTTTGGGGCCACGTCCTGTTTAAATTTTGGGGCCTCGCGTTTTTTGGGGGACTTAATTGGGCTCTTTGGGCCCCGCACCGGCGCACTGAAAAAGGGAAAAAAAATCGGAAAAAAATGGTAAGCGCGCGGGGCCCCTAAAAGCGAGGGGCCTGCGGCATATGCCGCTTCTGCCATATGGTTAATCAGGCACTGTGATTCAATTGATGCCGATTGCATTTTTTACCTTGTCATGTTTCATACGGGCTCTATCGTAGCAGAATGGTTCCAGTGAAAGAAAAGATATCAAATGCAAGTATTACAGTTATACAAAAATGCCGATAGGGCATTCGTATAGGTATTTTTAAAATAGAAGTATACTTTCTAGGTCCACACGCATGCAAATAATTACGCGTTATAACCCACCCCACAAACGTTTTATGAGCAAGACAAAAAATTGAATGACAAACTTCGGGGCCGAACGTTTTGAAATCTAGTTTCAAATACGCTTGTGCATGTATGCCACAGAGGAGATACATATGTTTATTATATAAACATAAGTGTTATATAGAGATTTTGGCCACTGAGAAAAATCGTATTTAAACACACGTAAAAAATACGATATTTTTACGTGTGAAAATATCATTTATTGTAAAAACGCATTGCCACGGACATTTTATTGTTTTCACCGAATTTTGTTTATATAATAAACAGAAAAATACATGGGTGCTTGGAAATACCAGATTTATTTCTCGTGTTGAACATGATATCTCACTCGTTCGCTGCGCTCACTCATGAGATATCATGTTCAACACTCGAAATAAATCTGGTATTTCCAAGCACCCATGTATTATTGCGGTGCCCGTGCCAAGTTTGGCACCGCATTATATTCTGCCTGTGAGTTTGTTTGTTAGTTTGTTCGCATCAATACGTTTTCTTAATCGCCTAATAAAAATTCCTTGCACGTGATCGAAATTTATTCATTTTTGGGGAAAATTAATTAATCTTGGACTCTCAGGACCGACTATTTGCTCATTTTGCTGGGCTTTATCTCTGGTTTTATGCCCCAAACAAGGACAAAAATACCACTGTTCGAGTCAGCGTAAACCTTTGTATTTATGAATGGGAAATTGATTTCAAAATTGATTATTTCTATTCCAGCGATTCATGGCTTTTGAAAGACAAGCCGCTCAAAATAATCCTTTCATGTTTTCTGAATTTCTTTTTTCGAGGAAGATTTTCGAAGATTTTCTTTCCAATTAATCTCGGACTCTGCCTTATCTCTGGTTTTATGCGCCCGATAAGGACAAAAATACCACCGTTCGATTCAGCGTAAGAAATTGTACTTACGGATGTCAAATGTATTACTAAACAACAGTATTCTAGCGATTCATGGGCTTTGAAAATCAAGCGAAATTGTATTGTTGACAAGTCGCTTAAAATTATTAAACTAATTAAAAATGCAGTACGTTTGATCCTTAAACTACCGGTTTCGTATTACATTTCGATACAATTTTTCTAATATAAATATCTCGGCGAGTATTTACCCCCCTATTAAATAAATGCCACCATTGAAATCCTCACAATATAACCTTTCGAACGGGGGGTCAAGTGCCGTCAAAACATTACACAAACCGAAACAATCATATATTTATACTCACCGCTTCGCCAAAACATTCAAACGAGAAAATTAGAAAAAGTTGAATATATTCTAAACTTTGGTGTCATTTCCTGAAAGGATATATGTGTAAAATACTCTTTGTATTCAAGCGCTTTCGTGTAGAAAGTTTCGTATGTATACGCCGAATAGAAATATTTATTTTGAATTTTTAAAGTATCGGGTTTTACTAGCACGCGCTTGTATTACGTAATACTTGACCAATAAGGAGCTCCCTTTAGCCGGGATGACGTAAAACTCACGCGTATGGGTGGGTTAGGTTAAAACGCGGAAGCGGATGCGGAACGGAACGGATGCGGAACGGAACGGAACGGATATGGGGTTAAAATGCGGAACGGAACGGATGCGGAACGGAACGGAACGGATATGGGGTTAAAATGCGGAACGGAACGGATATGCGGAACGGAACGGAACGGATATGGGGTTAAAATGCGGAACGGAACGGATATGGGGTTAAAATGCGGAACGGAACGGAAATGCGGAACGGAACGGAACGGATATGGGGTTAAAATGCGGAAGGGAACGGATATGGGGTTAAAATACGGAACGGAACGGATATGGGGTTAAAATGCGGAACGGAACGGATATGGGGTTAAAATGCGGAACGGAACGGAATATGGGGTTAAAATCCATCTGGTGGACGGGAAATCTGATTGGTTGATCAGCATCATGAAAGATTTTGATTGGTTGCAAGTTCATATAAACAATGGTTTTAAAAATAGCTCTGTCAAAGCGACAATTAAGCCCAATAAGCCGGTTAAAGACGAGCAAGTTTTCTTTAAGAATCTTTAAAACCCGGAATGAGAGAAGCCGGAATCTTTAAAACCCGGAATTATTACTGTAATTACTGCAATAATTTATTAATTTAATAAAGCCAAGTTTTGGCGGGATTCCTAAACTCCTTTGCGCATCGTGTCAGATCCTCGAACAAACAAGTAAGCAGTAAAGTAAAGAACCTCGAAAAATTTTGTGCAAGGCAGATATTCTATTTTTCTGGAGGAAACACAGTGGGTTAGTTTTTACGGCGAACACTATTATCAATACTGTTGAATTGAAGCTCGATTTTTGATATACGTCTGGAAGTACCACATCATTTTCAAAATACTAGGCCGTTTCAATTTTAATAAGCTTTCCACCTGTGTCTGTTACTATAAAATGTTTTTAACTACATATTATGAAAGCTTCAAATGCGTGTGCTTACATGCGCAGCAAGGCGAGACTTTTGAACTTTTGAAAATAGTTTTTGAATTTCCGTGGCATGACAAAAGTTTGTTGCGAACGTTTTCTCAGCGAATTTTCTACTAACCTGCAAATATAAATTCCACTAAAATGTAGGCATTTTCACAAGCTTTCAAAACATCCACGTTAGGGGTGTATGTCGTTAAATTTCGAATTAATATAAGCGATTCAAACTCGTGCCTAAAACCAGACATAATATATATTCCGATTTCCGACTAAAATGTATATTCCGACGGCAATTTTTACACCCTCGTTTAGGCAACGAATTATCGCCCAATAATCTAGCTATACAATGTTATAGCTTGTACCAAAATGTAGCTGATTTCACCAGCTATCTGACAATATGCGTAAAATTATTGTACCTGTAATATTCGCACAGATATAGACGAATAAAAGTCATGTTTATGTTGCATTAAACTTTCTATAATTCTGGTTTCAAATTTTGTTTACATTGTGTGATTTTGACCCCGTCGTTTAGACAACCTTTTCTCGCTCAATATTGTAGCTACAGAAATATAGCTCCCGCTAAAATGTAGGCATTTTCAGAGGCATTCAAACCATATGCGTTAGCGGTGAATGTCGTTAATAGTTGGAACATATTATGTCTGCTTCTAGGCACGAGTTTCAACCGCTTATATTAATAGTATATATATATATATTAATTATATTAATATCATAATTAGAAAGTTTAATGCAACATAAACATGACTTTTATTCGTCTTTATCTGTGCGAATATTACAGGTACAATAATTTTACGCATATTGTCAGATAGCTGGTGAAATCAGCTACATTTTGGTACAAGCTATAACATTGTATAGCTAGATTATTGAGCGATAATTCGTTGCCTAAACGAGGGTGTAAAAATTGCAGTCGGAATATACATTTTAG